CTCACTTGCCACAGACCCCAACACTCCCTATTGCATTATAGTTATCTGTTTCATACTTGTGTATTACCTTCTTGGCCACCTCTGTGAGAGACTCACAGAAGGGACATGGATGGAAACAACCACAAGAAATTCTAATCTGATCTGGTGACAGATCCTTGCTTCAATGGCTTATCTCCAAGGTGCGGTTGGCAGTGTGGGGAGGCCAGAAGGTATAGTGCCCAGGCCCATAGCAAGGCGCTGGGTGGGAGGGCTTGAATAGTGACATTAAGGACTCATTTACGTGTTGGCTTTGCTCTGGGCAGGCCCTGATGAAAACAAACAAAAGGCTCAGTAGCACCTTACTATAAACTTCTCTGTTTTTTCTTTTTTTTCTCTCTTTCTGTTTTTCCTTCCTAATAGGTGAACACACAGGATTTCAGAGGACTAGTGCGGGAAGATGCCGTTCTCTACCTGTTAGAAATCCCTAAAGGTGAAATGGTGACCATTTTAGCTCAGAGCCGAGCCGATGGTGAGCAAATTTGGTCATTTAGTTTTGTTGGGGTTGAGGGTGGGGAGTGGGAAGGATGAGAGAGGTGTCTTGGTACCAGAATAGGCAAATCTGGGTAATAAAAAATTGAGATGGATCTCAACACCTAATCCTTGGGTCCTAGGTGTGTGAAGAAAATCTGGGTGCCATTTAACTTTTCCATAAAAATGTTTTCTATGCATGCACTGAAATAATTTTACTAGTTGTGTCATTTTGGAATAAAACTGCCTTCCTGAACAGTGATGCAGCCTTACGTTCTGCCTGGAGTTATTAGTGAGTTTACATATGACAGGTGCAAAGGCCATGGCTGCTGGCTGGTGCCCCTGTTGCCCCCGGCCAGTCTGACAAGTTGTTTCGCCTTTCCAGGCCTTGTTCCCATCTGTGAAGTGAGGGTTGAGAGTATCTTCCTTGTCTGCTTCAGAGTTTGATTGGCGACTGTGTTAATCAAGTTCTCCAGAGAAACAGAACCGATAGGAGATATTGGAATCAATAGGAGAGAAAGAGATTTATTGTAAAGAATTGGCTCACATAATTATGGGGACTGGCAAGTGCCAAGATCTGCAGTGAAAATGGTCAAGGTAGAGACTCAGGAGAGCCAGTGATTTAGTTCTAGTCTCAGTCTGAAGGGCTGAGAACCCAGAGAGCCAATGGTGTAGTTCCAGTACAAAGGCAGGGAAAAGACCTGATGTCGCCTTTCGAAGGCCATCAGGCAGGAAGAGTAGTTTCCTCTTAATTGAGAATGGGTCTGATTTTCATTCTCTTCAGACCCTCAACTGATTGGATGAGGCCCACCCGCATCGGGGAGGGCGATCTTCTTTGCTCAGTCTACCCATTTATACGTGACTCTCATTCAAAAACACCCTCAGAGAAAGACCTAGAATAAAGTCTGACCAAATACCTGGTCATTTCATGGCCCAGTCAAGTTGAAATAAAAATAACCATTGCAGCAAGCCGTGAAGCTGGTCATTTGTCCTTGTTCCTGTTGGAGCTGTGATTCCCATAGGACTTGTGCACTGAATGGAAGGAAGGTAAAGGGGAGATCAGAGATGGGAGAAGCTGTGTTGAGTGTCTAATACTTTTAACTTGTACTAAGCTGAATGCAACAAACAATGCTTTTGTCTTTCAGTGTATAGAGACATCCTGGCTTGTGGCAGAGGGGATTCATTTTTTATAAGAAGCCACTTTGAATGTGAGAAGGAAACTCCACAGAGCCTGGCCTTCACCAGAGGGGAGGTCTTCCGAGTGGTAGACACACTCTATGACGGCAAACTGGGCCACTGGCTGGCTGTGAGGATCGGGAACGAGTTGGAGAAAGGCTTAATCCCCAACAAGAGCAGGTAACAGAGATCGCATTCTCACACACCCCTTTCAATCCTTCCCCCTGCAGAAAACTACAGGCCCCCTCCCCGCAAAAGGAAGCCCCACATGAGTTCATTACGTGTCATCATCTATTTCTTGTTTATGGAGAGTGGCGTGAATTGTAAATAGCCACCAGCTGGTTTGTTGTGAGTAAATTTAGCATCATGTGGTTGGTTGTTGCATGTGGCTGTTTGAACAACTTCCTAAAGAGCATCTACTGCCTTGTACCGTGTACAAGAGAGATACTGAATGGCCATAGCATGCCAGCACACCTCTTAGAGACAAGGTACCCTTGTCTGGTGTCCCGTCTCCATCCTTGGAGAGGCTTATGCACCCCAGTGAACACTTGGTATTTGGCTGACAGTGCAGGAACCTAGAAAAGAGGCCTGTATTTGAGCAGGAGTTCCAGGTGTGGTGTGTACTGTGTACCGGCGTATCAGAATGAGCCAGATTTCACATGTTTATTGCTGAGCCATTTCTGGTAGATTTCATAGAGACCCAGCCTTTTTCTGCTCCCATTTGGAAGTGACGGTCCCCACATTTCCCACCCTCTGAAACTTCTTCATTGTCAAGCGGAATCTTCCCTGAGCTCAGAAGTAAAATCGATTGGATTTGATTAATGAAATGTATGTTTGCTGCGTTTTCTGGCTTTAGAGATTTACTTCCCATGGTTTCTTCTCAGAGCTGAACAAATGGCCAGTGTTCAGAATGCCCAGAGAGACAATGCTGGGGACAGGGCAGATTTCTGGAGAATGCGTGGCCAGAGGTCTGGGGTGAAGAAGAACCTGAGGAAAAGTCGGGAAGACCTTACAGCCGTTGTGTCTGTCAGCACCAAATTCCCGGCTTATGAAAGGGTTTTGCTGCGAGAAGGTGAGGAAGCAACATGGGGCCTGGAAATGATCTGACTGGGCTCTGAGCCTGTTCATCTTCATTTTCAGACCGTATGGTCAAGTTCTAACTGTTCACCTTCATTTTCAGACTGTATGGTCAGGTTCTAACTGTTCACCTTCATTTTCAGACTGTATGGTCAGGTTCTAACTGTTCAC